GCGTGCTTTTTTCGTCGCGCTGTGATGACGTCAGGTACGCGGTTTCGTCGAGCACGCTTTAGTCGACCGTGGTTTTGTAGTGGAACCCTCTGACAGGGGTCAGCTGGAGCTTTTTGTATAGCCTTTTCAGTGAATACTTCCATCCCAACAAGTCTATGAAGGCCATCTTACCCTCATGAATGCCTGATGGGTTCTGCATGTGACATTGTTATTGCCATAGATCCGGACACTTCCAGAGGTGGCTTCGGAGGTTCCATTAGAGGAAAAATAAAACCTCGCTGCCGTATCTGGCCTTCTATTAATATCCAGGCTTAGATTATAAAGCAATACTGTAAAGATTAAAAAAATAAATAAGAGGAAGGATTAAAAGAAATCTTCGAAAACATTTCCATATTCATTAAAGCGATGGTGAGCTACTACTTATGTTAACATAAACAAGGAAGCAAGTTGTAAGTGGTTCTACATTTTCAGGATTTTCTGTCCAATCTTTGGAACATCACTTTTTATTATTAAATCTTAAAAGGAAAAAAATATATCAAAATGTGTAGTCAGAATCTGGCATGTGCTTGTGCGCGAGCATGTAAATAACGAGGACATGTTAATGTCTTTTAGTGTGACGTAGTTCTGTCTTCATACAAATATGACACTGCTTAAAGAATATGCAGCTTTTCTCCGGAGCATGCTCCAAGTTTGTAATTTACCAAGACACAATAATATGCATAAAATACTATGTACTTAACCTTTTTATTCTGGTTTGAAAAGTAAATTATAGTACAAATGCCTATGCATATGTTTTAGGGGAACATAGCCTCAAGATTATGAGCAAAACACTCTCTTTATTATCATAACCCCCTAAGGAAGAACATTGTGGGCTAATCATGCCAGGATAAATTACTTTCAAATTATTAACATTGTGTCTCTTTGTGTGTGCGTGCATGTGCCCATGCCTTTGAGAGATGTCTGGAGAATTCTGCACTGTTTTCATGGCAACATTTTTGTAAATGGCTGGCAGTCTCCTTTTTCTGAGAGAGAACAACTGGCTGAAGACTACCATGCCTAGGGCAAGACCAGAATTCAGAATTTCCTCTCTCTAACCTAATGCCTTTAACCAAAAAAACTTAATTTGCTCTCTAGGACCATCTTAGATCACATTAACTTTAGTATTTTTTTTAAAAAGTTCCACTATTCATATTTGGAATATATACATGCATCAGTATTGGTATCCTCTTATCTTCACTACCGGTTCGGTAGCGGGAGCGCGCACACCCATGCACGTGGTACGTCTGGGCATGCACAGAACCTTCTTGATGACGTCTGGGTGGGTGGGCGGAGCCTCACACTGCCGT